CTCTTAACCTCTCTGATCCCCTCATCCGTGGGTGAAAGGGGTGGCCTTGTTTCTTCCTGCCCATGGGGTCCTGTTGCACTGCTCTGGGCCTGAGAAGTAGTAGGTGCATCCTGTCAATTGTGGCAGCTCCTGGCAGTCAATTCCTTGAGACCAGGGCACTTTTTGCATACACACTCCGCCCCCTGCCCCAACATGCTGCTCAGGCATAGCATCTTATCCTGGGGATGTTCATTGCAAGCAAGGATACTACCTAAAAATCTTACCTTCCTTTTCCCTATCCATATTTGCTGAGCTGGTGTCTCAGAGTAGGGTAGAGTAGGTCATGTAAGGATCCTAGAGATCCCAGCATGGTCAGCACCTATGGACATCCCTCCCAGGAATGGTGTGTAAGGTGCTGCTGGTGTCTGTCCCCACCAGTGGATCCCCAAGGTAAAGGCCAAGTTGCTGTTTGCTGGGTACAGGCGATCTTTTTGAAGCTCCCCAGGATGTAGTGGCAGTCCACTTTTGGGGAGGGTGCGAAGCCAACCTTAAGCCGACCTTAGGCCCTTTGATCCCCATGGATAGCTGTTTGTCCAGTCCCTAAGGGTTGTGACAGAGCAACTTCTTATTGCATACTTGCTAGTTGTTTGCAGGGTAGCTTTTTGGCTAGCGCTTTCCCCACCCCACTCCCCACCCAGCCACCACCACCCTGTCCTTTACTTTGTTCTTCGCTTTAGTTTAACCTTTCTCTCAATGAAGAGACTCGATTAGGTGCCCTTTACTCAGCTGACACACTTGGCATTGTAGAGAATTTGGTACAAAACAAATGTCCATTTAAGGTTTCTCAAGGTTTTTCAAGTTTCACAGGTCAAAATTGATAGCCTACCAAGGAAAAGCTTAAAAAAAAAAAAAGACATTCACTTTTTACAGTATACACAGTTTTAATAACAAATCTTTCCTGTACACTGCACTTTGTTACCACCCACCTCCCCCGGCCCCATTATAATAGTATTTTCTTCCCACCCCCCAACCCAGTGCCCATCTCCCAGCAAAAACAAAACAAAACAAAAAATGGCTCTTAAGATGATTGAACACAATGTGTTTTGGACTGTACTTTTAGTGTCCAGTCTCAGTGTTGATAGGAAAGTTCACCAAACATTCCATATATCAGACTTTTTTTTAAGATTACCAAGGAAGAATAGGTTAGTTGAAGGAGTAGCAGATGTTTCCAAATGTTTGTAATAGCTGTATGAAATCTTGAAAAGTCACTTTCTGTGTGTTTTTGGCCTTATTCAAGTACTGTGAGTTTGCCCTAGGTTAAGAACAGAAATATATAATTACCTATAGATGACCTTATCATCTTTATCTTCATCTTTTTCTGGTTGAAGCACTTAAGCCAATAAAATATGAAGATCATGTCCCAAAACAGACTTTTGAGAAAAGTCTGTCACTATATTGCTCTATTAGGAAAGTGATCATGTAAGTCAGCTTCTCAAAATATTATTTTAAAATTTCATATAGATACCCACATTTTAGGGAGAGAAACAGGCATTTATCGCTTTTTTGCCCTGATAGCATGTGTGGGAAGCATGCCTTAAGAAAATGATATGCCTGTTTTGAATTTTAGGATTTGGACCTAGCGATACAGAGGGCTCATTTTTATTGGAAAGATGGAGTCTAGCTCTTGGTGACTAGCATTAGAATAAGCAGATGGATTTTAATAATTAGTGGAGTTGGAAAGTTCAATCGATTCCATTCATTGCATTGGTATAGAAATTAACTTAGGCACATTAAGAAATTACATGTGTTAGTGCAGATTTTTGGCTTAAAAAATTAGTATCTTTGCTATTTGATGTTGGCAGTGGGTATTCTCTGAGTTGTGTGTGGATTTGCAGATTTATCAGCCCACTCTCATTTCAAAAAAGTGATTGAAATCCGTGGCAAGCTACAGAAATGAATATAAACGATTCCAAACAAGCTCTTGGTTACTAGGTGGGTACAGTATCATAGCCTGCTTAGCTTTTCTTTTTCCAGAGAGATTTAAATATTTTTCTGGTTCTTGATTAAGTGGTCATTTTCCTTTAACCTTGAAAGTGAAAAAAGACGGGGGCTAGGAGGGGGATAGGCACTGAAGAGGATGAGACGACACTGGTAAAACAAAAGCCCTAACATCATGTTACCAGGATCTGCAGCGTAGCAGTGGTGCTCTTACACCCTAGCCAGTCGGTGAAGAGAGGACATACGACTCACAGTCTCATCTTCAAACCTGTGCCGATACCGAAACATAAATAGGCCAAAAATAAATGGAATCCTGCCTTCTTCAGGCATTTGAAAAGGGAAGTTTGCACTTTAAATGAAAAAGGAAAATGCTGTCTGGCACTGTTACTTACTTTTCTCTGAGAGCATTACCAAAAAAATGGATGGCAAAATATTTTATAGTTTTCGACTGGAAAGTATTCCTTAGTGGCTTTGCTATGCTGTTCCCCAGAATTTACTGAATGGCTTGCTTTCCCAATTACTTTTCTACATACATTAAGGATTTTGTCAGTTGATGGTCCATTTTACTAAAGGTAATCTTTAGGATGAATGTGGGAATTCTCAGCCAGTATTTCTCATCCTTCTCTTCACAGTTCCAATTAATGTTGGTTGTGGATGAAATGATGGAAAATACTCCAGTGCTATCCCTCAGGGCTAGTGGAGTCTCTGTGTTCAGGGCACAGTTGTACTGTGACAGAGCTGTGCCCTGACAAATGCCCATGGTTACCCTGATAAATGGGTTGGTAAATTTTAGCTCATGGAGCTCTCATTTGTAATGGGGCTTCTGATCCAGTCCCTCTATAGGGAAGCAGTGAGCTGCACTCTCTGCCGTAAAATCAGCTTCTGTCTCTGCCTGGGCAGGCCCAGGGTCTGGTTTAATAAGAAATGAAATGCTCACCGCTCAGGATCAGTTGAACACAGCTGGGCTGAGACTTTGCCAAACTAATCTACCCACCCTAAAAAATATAGAGAGCACATTTTTATCTTAATTTGTGATCTCATCTGCTTTTTTTACTGATACACGTTTTCTTTGAAATGTAGGTAGACACCCCTCTCTTAGTATTAAAGAAGAAAAAAATTACAGTTAAATCTCATGGGTTAAACTGTATTCTTAGCATGTTTGCAGTTTAATCCTGGGAAGAAAATATGCCTTGAATAAAAGGATAACGTGTTAATGGTCATTTTAAGGGAATGATAACTTTTTTTTTTTTTTAATGGTGGTGGTTTTCTCTAAGGATATATGCCTTTTTTTACATACAGTCAATGTCAGTTGTAGAAATGCTCATTTTTCTAAAATTAAGTCAGTCTAATTTAATGGGTTTTGCTACTATGTGCGTGGAACCTCGTTTATGGAAAAATTCTGTATGAATTGGTGACTTGGATCTAAATCCAAAATATGCCATAGTTTCTTTGTAGAAATAATAAAGAAATGAAATACTTGTGGCTCTTTTCTGCATGAAAAGGGTGACATCATTATCATTTGTTAATTATGGAATGTTTCTATTAACACTCTCCCCTTTTCAGCTGCAGGCCCCAGGGCCTTGCCCTGTTTGATGCAGATTATGTAGTTAACCTTTGCCTCAGTCTTGGCTGCCTTTTAACTTAAGCTAAACTGTTTCTGTGGGTTACATTTCAAAATGCTCCCTTTCCCTTTCATCCCTTCACCTCCATGCCACCTTTGCGTTACCACTGTGTGGCTGCATAGGCATGTAGAGTGTTCTCCCACGAGAGAACACTCAGTAATACATTGCCTCAGTAAAACGTTGTTCCTTCACTTAGAAGGAACTGCTCTTACAGTGTGGATAGGTATCTTAATTAAACAAATATTAGCATATAATATTTAGAAAGTGATTTTTTTCTTGGTTCCTTTATATTATATTCAGTAAGAATCAGTGTTATGCCTCTTGCTAGACAATTATTTTTAATTTGGCTTTTTGAGGTTTGAAGATCAGGAAAAGGCAGAAGAAAGAGGTTTAAAACCCCCTTGTCAAGGCATCTTTGATCATGAGGGAGGGAGAGAATTTGTGTGTGTGCTTTCAACTAGAGGGAGCAAGTCACAGGATTGTTAAATTGACTCAGTTTATCTCTTTTCTCTCCAAAATAATTTCTAAATCTTTTTTTTACATGTAAATGTAAATACAGGATTTAGTAAACTAATTAGTAAAATGGTGATTTAATACTAGTTTAAAAAATTGTCTAAATGCCACAAAAATCAACATTTCCATTATAAGTCAAACTAGAGATGTATCACATGAAGTCAGTGTAATTATTTACTGTTGATTTCATTGTAATAAGACCTTTTCACAATCACTTGGATTCATTGTTTAAATATATTAAAGAGTCACTCAGCTTATTAGAATTACATAAAGGGTTCTGATTTCATAATGTGGACTTTGATAGTATCTACCAACCCAGGCAAAAACTCTGGATGAAGAGTGTTTAATATTTACCAGTCTTCAGCATACATGAAATTCTACTTTCCACACTGGCAGTAAATTGTAGATTTGAGTAAATACCAAATTATCATACAAGAGAACTTTGTTAAGCTCCCTTTTAAGCAGCAAGCCAGTTGTGGTACTTGGGATGGAGAGCAGTGATCTAGCAAGTATTGATCCATATCTTTTTCTGCTCAGTAGCTTCTTTCCAAACTGTTTTCAGTAGAAGAAAATAGCGTATGGAGACCTTAGTGTAAATGTTTACACATGACAGTTTATAATTACATACATGAAATGTCTTATTTTGAAGTAAGCATTTTTAGACTTTGCAACAAGAGTGCAAATTAATATGGGCTTTGCATCATATAACACTTAAAATATGGTTTCATTAAAAAATTAAAAATACTTCAACATGTCAAAAACTTAAGTCTCCACTTGGTTTGGAAAATTAGGCTTAATGTCACCATTGGTAAAAATTAGGTATGTATTTAGCCCCTACTATGTAAAATAGGTTACTTATCTGATGTAATTTTTGATGACAGGTCGATATTATACTTCACATTCTTTGTATGGCAGCTGCTGACACTTGCACTGTCCATAACCGTTAATGATGATGAAGGGTCCTTCATGGGTGGGTTCATATTCATTATACGGTCCTTGGTCTGACATGTTTGACATATGGAGTCGTGTTTGGGATCGGAGCTGCCTGTGGTTCTGAATCATTGAGCACTGCCTAATTCTTCTTAAAGTGGGAGGGCAGCACTTCCTGGAGATGAACACTATAAAAATAATAAAAAAGAAAGAAAACAATAAAGCCATTGTTCCTGTAATTACCCTCTGAGTGAAGATGGCATTGTCTGGTTCAGGAAAATGTTCCTCAGTAGTAACTGCTATGCCTGCAGTAGTTGGGATTTCTTTGTCTCCCACATGGTAACTTGATGAGCTTATTCTTTTTGTATATTCAGTGGTTGGATCTCTATAAGTTGTAGCCATGGCAGTGACAGTGGTTGATAAATTCCAGCAGAGCTGAAATCCGTGGACTGCATCTAGTATATCCTCTCCTTGGGTGTGGTCAGGGCTGTGACATAGGATGGAATGTTCCCACCGACCTTGGAAACTCCCCAGCCAGGAGGCCAAAGCACATATTCGAGGGCTGCATTCCCACAGATTGCCAGAGAGGCCGACGGTTGTGAGGGATCTCAGGGAGTTTAAGATCTTGGAATCAAGGCTATTTAACTTGTTGTTATCCATGAGGAGAATTTTAAGGTTAGGCATCGTTTCAAACACTGTCAGGTCGATGGCTTTGATTTCATTTCCAGTCAGGTCTAGTTTTTCTAAAGTGCCCCAGGTCCACTCCATTCCACATGTCAAGTTGCTAATTTTGTTCCATTGTAAGAAGAGTGTGTGCAGACTGCTTAGCCGTAGGAAATGAGCAAAATTAATCTTCGTCAGCTGGTTGTGCTCTAGGTGAAGCTCTCTCAGTTTGATTAATCCTGCAAATCCATTGCGAGCCAAACTTCGCAAACGGTTTGTGCTCAAATCCAGAAACTCCAGACTACGACAGTCCCAGAACAGACGTACTGGGATAGTCCGCAGGGAGTTGGACCGTAAATGCAAGGTCTGCAGCTTCCGAAGGCCGTAGAAGAGCTCTGGGTGCAGAGATGACAGCTGATTAAAAGACAGGTCCAAATTTTGCAGGTTAATCAGTTGAGTAAAAGTTGTGTTTGGCAAGTAAAATATTTTGTTGGAACTTAAGATTAATTCCTTAAGTTTATATAGTCCTTGAAAAGCATCTTCTTTTACTGTTGAAATTTGATTGTGGTCTAAGTGGAGCCAGGTAAGTTGACTGAAGCTGGCAAATTGATCCCTTTCGAGCTCTGTGATGTGATTGTGCCTCAGGGACAGGCCCAGAGAGCCCTTGTCTGTGGTGTTTGGCACTGAGCGGAAGCCCTGGGAGTCGCAGTAGAAGAGCAGCTTCTCGCAGCGGCATTTGGGTGGACACGCCATACCCAGGGCAGGCAGCATTTTTAAAACCATACTCATTGCATATATTGCTGCCAGCATAGGGGCCCCTAATGGCCACTTGAAATGTAAGCCTGCAGAATATAATTTAAGGAAAACAAGAAGATAGGATATTTTTCAGCAGAATGTATGAGCTATTAAAAAAACAACAATAACATTATGGCGAAAGATTTCACTGCATATAATTTATTTTTCATTTGCTGCAGGAAAACTAACCTTGTTAGTATGACTAGAACAAAACTTAAACCATTAAGAAAAAAGATAGAGCATGTTCTGTCATTAGCAATATATGCTTTTACCTAAACCTCAAAATCCAAAAATTTGACAGTGATTTCCCCCATAAAACATGAATTCAGTGGCTTATTTTAAAAAGCATGAATCCTTGCTGACTATACAAGACACATAAATGCATGGACTTACCCATTCTTCTGAGCACATTGGAGGCTGCATTCAGTCGTGGTTGTTAGACTCAACGCAGTGAGTCTGTAAAAGGCTCTAACATGCAGGAGCCTTTGACCAGTTTCCTGTTTTCTGTGTCCCAGGCTTTCTGAGGAAAATTGAATCCACCAGGGTGAGTTATTTTTTCCTTAGGATATTCCTCTCGAAAGCATTGGTTTCATTTTCTCTGTCCTCTCTGCTTCCCCAAATCAGTTTCGAATGTAAGTTATTAATTTCGTCCTCCTTTAACTGCTCAGCTGGTTAATCAAAGCTTCCGTCTCTCCTTTCCGCAGCCGTTAGTTCTCTCGGTCTTAACTTGTTGATGGCAGATGGGCGGCTTGTTGCAGAGAAGAGCTCCTGGAGCAGCATGAGTGCATTTACTGAAAAGCTTTTCCGAGAAACGGCACAAGAATGGAATTGCTTATGTGCTGCGACCACACAGAACTGTATATAGGCTGACGTCACCGGGTGACGTGTCTTTTGTTTGGGTTTTCCAGAAGCTTTACTGTTATAAAGCACCGTGCTTTGTAACAGTATCGGGGTCGCTGTAAGACCCCTTGATTATAATAAAGCAAGAAAGAGAATCTCTGACTTAAAAACATGGTATTCCTTCAGTGTAGGCAGCAGCAGTGAGGTTATAATAAAGGCTGCATTCAGGGAGACCCATCTGAACAGTGAGTTGGGATAGCAGAGTGATGATTTTTAATGCTTAGAAGAGCCAGTGTTAGACTGCCGATTCTGCAGAGAGAGAGAGAGCATCTAAATGGCCAGGAGCCTGCGCGATTTATGAAGTGCAGATTTAACGCCAGCCTATGCAGGGTAGTACCTGCTGCTCCAGTAGTTTGGAAAGCTACTCAATCACCTTGTTGTCAGGCTTGGTTAAAATAGAAGTATGACTGTGATTTGCTTTAGATGTGTTGGGAAACGAGCCAGGTGGGCTTGGATTCTTTGTCATTAAGAGCTTAACATCCTAAACCAAGAATAAAGAGGGGGAAAAAAACCTTACAGTACAAAGTATTTCGTTACTTGGCTTCTTGAGAATTGAAGGGAACTTGAGTTAAAAGATGTCTCCTTTTCTGTCTCATTTTATAACACTGTTTTAATTATAGTGCTGATTGAAAAATAATGCTGATTTGATCTTTCGATGTCTTACTAGGAGAAAAGGTTAGGGTGATACTGTCATTTAATACTGCATGCCCTAAATAAATAGTGGAACGGAAGTGATTTAGGACAAGTAATAGAGCATGGTTGGATTCTGGTATAGTCCCTCATATTTACCTCAGACACTCACCTACTCCTTCAACTGAAAGGAGTTGCTCAGCTGACCAACTGAGTGTGATTCAGGGCATTGTGGCCCCCATGTAACAACATTTGCATACTTAATAGCTCTTACCGACACACTTAAGAACTGACTTTGAGTCTAATACTCACTGTTGTTGGAATCTCTGGTGAATACAGAAGGTCACTCATACTTTGGAATAGGATTTTTGCTTTGGCTGTTCTTACTTAACTGTGTCTTCTCCCTGTCGAATAGTGCCATCACTTTTCAGAACTTGGTTATGAACGTACAGTTCCATGTTTATTTTTTTTTTTTAAAGATTTTATTTGAGAGAGAGCAAGTACGAGTGGGGGGCAGAGAGAGAAGAAGCAGACTTCTTGTTGAGCAGGGAGCCCCAATGTGAGGCTCAATCCCAGCACCCTAGGATCATGACCTGAGCCAAAGGCAGACGCTTAACTGACTGAACCACGCAGGCGCCCCAATTCCATGTTTAATATAGTGTAAATGTGAAGGATTTCTCTAGCATTAGTCAGGGCCATATATTCAGGCCTGACAAGTCTAAGGCCTTTTACACATCTTACCTTACATTAATTTGGCCTTCCATGCCAATTTCTGTCACACCATTGGTGCTTAACCTGGAGGCAAAAATTTCAAAAATACCCACGGTGTCTGTGAAACCAGAACATCATTGGCCTGTTGTTTGGTGGCCTTGCCACTGGGCAAGAAGTCATCCTCTTAAGAGGTGTAGTTCCCATGTTGAGGGGTGGTACTGGAGTGAGGATTGGAAGAATCCAAGGTCCTGTGAAAGTGCTATGAAAACATCGATAACTGCAGGTGTATAGTCTGAGTCCTCTTAGAAGCAGACCCCAAGATGGATTAGAAGTATTAGAGTTTTATTTGGAAAACGCATGGGAGGTATAAAAGGAGAGAGAAGACAGTAGGAATACTCTGAGGGCCACTGGAGTCTTCAGACCACAGGCAGGTCTGATACTCCAAAAGAAAAGAGGAAGGAAAGATTTGGCAGTCATAGACTGCAGTGCATCCTCAGGCCAGAGCCAAGCTCGCAAGCCAAAACTGCCCATGAGTGGACTCCCACATTCTTAAGAATGAGCCTGCAATAGTACTCCCACCATTTTCCTGCTTGCTGGTTAAGGAAGGGGGAGGTCTTGTTTTAGGCCTAAAGGATGCCACTCCCCCCACTGACCTTCATCTTTTCCAAAGTCTTATCTGCCCATAGGCCAGTTGTTAATCTTGAGTCCATAGACTGGTTTGCAGAATTTTGTTGCTTGTGCATTTTCTGTGAATAAGTTTTAATCCGATTCTTAACAGGGTCTGTGATCCTGAGTGACAGAGTTCCTGTTCTACAGGAACTTTCTCCCAAAACATCTAAGGAGGGGGGGAGTCTGATAAGGGTTGTCTCTTTTAAAAATTTTTTTCTTTAAGGAAAAGCAGCCCTTGGGATACTGTAAATGCCTTATTGAATGAAGTCAGCTACTCCCTGATTCAAAACAAAACAAAACAAAAAAAACCAAAAAACCTTTGCCAGGCAGGAGGAACTGGATTAAATTCTTCCCTGAAGTAACCACTTTAGTTCCATGTGGAGAAAAGCATTAGAGTCAATTGGATTAGAGCAACCACAATTAGGGATGAGTTGTATGTGAAAATTTAAAAGGAAAAGCGTCTCCTTCCCCTTAGACCCTTGGTTCCTTTCTGCTCTCTAGTCTGCTTGCCTACCTCTTATATATTAACAAATGGAGAATGCTTAAATTATATTATCCCAGCACTATTAGACCAGATTTGTGGGCAAGGGAAATTGCCCAGAGAAGCACCAGTGCAGTCAAGAGTAATTATTTTTTTGACACATCTGGAGAAGTGAGCAGTAATGCAACGGAGAAGTAGGCAGTAATACACAGTACCCAGAGAGTTCCTTCTAAGTCACCAGTCATCTTGCTCACTTGCCTTCTCTTTGGGTTCAAAAGGTTCAGTCTGTGGAACCAAAGAAGATACGGTTTTGTCTTAAAGTTGGTGGAGTACATGGTTCCTGTTGATGGGATTTTGTGTCATTTTTTGATCTTTAGCTCAAAGGACTAAACAGAGATCCATGTTCTTTCTGAAATAAACTTATCTTTGGTTTCATTTTAGGCAGCTTTACTCTCCATACATATGCCTTTGACTTAATTATTAAGTGGCAGTACAATCTCCAGAAAGCACTCTCCATATCATCTGTTTAAGTTTTCACTGCTTTGTTGTTGTTTGTGACAAGGCAAAGGAGAAGCAAAATCTCACTCATCTCTCCTCTCTGTGAATGGTTTTAAGCAAAAGTAAATGAGTCAAGTGGCAGGGCTTAGGTGCTGTAGTTACGTGCATTACTCTACATGAAAGTTTGCTTTTAATACGTATTGCTGAGTAGGGAGAATTATTTCCCTGCTTGGAGCGGCAGATGTACAGATACATGGAATTTTCTGTTCATTTGTGGTAGAGCCGGAGCTTGATTTTGCATTATGCTAAAAAGTCAAATGTTTCTTTAATCATTCCCAAATCCAAAAATTATAATAACTCTAGCACCAGTGGTGTTGCACATAGGTGCTCTGGAGAAGTATGTTAAATAAACCTAGTTGCTGTCAGTCTTGATCGCTACTTGGAGGACTTCCTCACGTTTTATCAAAAAGTTACAGTCATTTTTTGGGTGGAGGTCCTAGATTTTGTGGGTCTGAGTATATCCCCTGCTAAGAACCTTTTAGGGTTTTTAGTTGGCAACCTCATATTTGGGCCTATATTAGAGTAAGTGAGTTTCTTTCAGAGGGAAGAAGGAAGGAAGATGAGAGAAGATTATGGTAAATCCTAGAATTGTTCACTGCTTTCATACTGCATGTATTCGGGGGCAAAGATAAGACTGTTCTTTTAAATTATTTGATATGCTATTTAGAAAAAAGGAAAAACCAGTGAGGTTCATGATGAACATTAGCTTGTTATCTTCCCAAGAAGCAAAACATACATGACAGAGGCAGGTAGAATGCCTAAGGATTGGTGGCTTTACCAGTTTATCATGTTGGGATGGACTAAAGAGTGATTGATAGTCCCAGGTGGAGCTGGAGGATCTGAGAGCATTCAGAACACTAGGTTCCTGGAGTCTTGGTCTTCCCTAGACCACTGTTGCGTGTAAATAAATAGGTGTGTGGTTGGGAATCTTTGTTTTCAAGTGCCTTTTTAAAGGTAAGCTGTCCACATAGGGCCAAGAATCCCCATTTTTGACTAGATCTTTGTCCCTATCCCTACCTGCCATTGATTTTGATTTTTAAATCAAAAATCTCTTGTTAGTAAACATGACTGAGAAAGCAGAAGGGAGTAATGGTTCCACAGTGATGGTGAACTGTGTTCCTTTTGATGTTGTAACTTACAGACTTAGGGATTTCTTCTAGCTTTGGAGGCATGTGCTTTTTGGTAGTTTTTGCTAGTGGGGGTGGCGGGGCTAGGATTAGGTAACAGCCTAATTTTTCTGTGCTAGTGTTGTATTCTGTGTCCAGGACTAGGTAATTCAGCAGTAAATCTTGGGGTGATGCACTGGAGTCAGACATTAGGTGAGGGAAAAATCTTTCATAGAAGTTTGGGCAGAGGTACATTTCAGCTATGAAGATCTTTTATTTGGCCTACCGTAGACTCCAAACCAAATTGAACTATCTTAAAGTCTTGATTAATGCACAGATTGATTGAAATTTGTATTGCCAGGCCTTTTTTTTTTTTTTTTAACTGTTTGCACAGTGGCTTCATCATGTTCATGTTTCCCCCATCCTGTATGTGTGGCAGGCTTCATTTTTTTATTCTGAAATACAGCCAAGTTTGGCTTTGTCCTTCCTACTTCTCCCTCTCCATTTCCAAGTAAGTATCTTTCTCTTTAGATGTGTTTCCTCCTGCCAACATAGGTGGCCCACAGGTATACAAAGCCATTTGCACAGAACAGAATTAAGTGTTATGAACCCATTCATATTTTCTTGAAGAATCCCTTTCAGTGTTAGAGGCCTTTGACCCAGTTGGCTAAACTTAAAGGGGTGAATTTGCATGTATATTGGCTAGATGCTAGCAGTTTTCATTGCTGAACCTTAGAAATGTCATTCCCTCAAAAATCTGGGGTAGAAGGACAGTGACATGTGCTAAGACAAGCA